GGCCGCCCGGGCCAGGCAGGACCAATGTCATGCTGCTGGATACATCACAGCAGTGAATTCAGAAAGATTCCATTGCCAGCAAACATGGACATCGACATCAAATCATTGATCGAAAAAAGCAGAACTACCGATTGCTGAAAATGACTTCTGACAGATAACAAGGAATATTATTTGTTTACAATTCGTTTCGGATTGTGCTTTGTGGTTCTTACAGTTAATAAAACAAGCATTTCGGGCAGTGAGCTATCAAATTCAGTTGATATCTCAACATCTCAAGTGGGTATTCTGGAGCAGCTGCCACCTGCAGCGGATTTGGTCGGGCACGGCCGAGCGGGCGGCGCCGCGCTGGGCCGGGATGGTCTGACGTCAGCCCCGGCAGCGGTGCCAGCCGAGCCGCTAATAGACGGTCGGCGCACGGCCGGACGCAGCACGCGCAGCCACCGCTGCCAGCGGCCAGCGCCGACCGGCCCAGAGCCGGCCAGGAGCAGAGCGTTATACTTTCATATTGAGGCAGAGCTCGACGCAGCTCCACACAGCTCAACACAACTCGATACAACCCTGTATTTCCTGCTGTCAAGGGTCTTCATACTGCCCCACATCCTCTCTCTCTCTCCATCCGCAGCGCAGTCGGCCACTAGCCTCTGCCTGACCCAGAGCCGGGCCCGACGGCCATCTGTTGCAGGTCACTAACGGCGCTGCCGAGCGGCGGCCAACCCGCTCTGGTCGCAGCTGACGGCCAAGAGACGGACGAGCCGCCATCGCGCGCGGCGTGTCACGGTCGGACACGAGCACACACAGACGGTGCGGGCGGTAGGCGCGGTCACACAGCAGCCATCAGTCACGGCCGGGCCGGCCGACAGAAGGCGGTGCGGTCCGCCGGCCGCCCGGTCGGTCCGAGCGACCACGATTAGCGGCCGTTAGCGCCGCTCCGGCACACTGCGGTCCGATGGAGCCGCGCTGGGTGGTGGGATGGGCGCTGTCACCGGCGGGTCAGCCACACCGCACAGGACAGGGTTGCAGAGCTTACGCCGTCCACCCACCCGGGAATCACCACGCCCTATGCGTGCTCCGGGCCCGCGCAGACACGGCCAGGGAAAGGGCCAAATCTGCAGCTCCGCCGCGCCGGGCGGCGGGCCTTCGGAGAGCGGCACTCGTCTCGCTCGGCCGCACATCCCGGATACCGGCCGGCGCGGCTCAATGTAAACCGGCCGAGCTCGGAGACAACGGGATCGGCCGGCGGCCGGCGCGGTGAAAATCGGCCGCCGCGCCGCCGGCACCGCGGACGGACAGAACGGCCGCTGTACCGGCAGCCGGCCGAGAGAACGAACTGTGTCAGAATTTTCTGACAGACTGTGCCGAACTTCGATATGACACGCACTGGCTTCAATTTCCTGCTTTCCTACACCTACGATTCCACTTATAAACGTCCTTCTTCAAGCGCCATTACAAGCCGTCCTTCTCTTCTCGTGCCTCAGAAATATATCCAATAAATGCAAGCAATCCCTGGTCTAGTGGTCAATCCCCGCAATAAATCTCTGATCGCACGTGTCGGTATGTCAGTCGGGTCGCCGCCCAGCGGAGCGGTACCTGACCCAGAGGCAGCCCGTCCGTCAGTCACGTGCTGCATGGGCTGCTTCCTTCCGTGTTGACATGACGGGTCCCGTGCGAGCGTCCGCCGCGGGGCGGGGGTCGGCTGGCACGTGGCCTGGTGGGCCGTCGGCTCTGGTTTCCATCATCGCCGCGCGACGAGCGGCGTACCCGCACTACGCCCACTCTGAGGCGCGTGTAGCTTCGGGGGGCCAGTGAACCCGTCAGTCAGTGAACGTCAGTCAATGAAACAGACCCCGAACAGGTTAGCGAGACGAGAGAGCGTCAAGTAGGTCTGGTGTCTGGTGATGGAATAAAAACGAAAGAAAGAGTAGTGCATATGTAGTGGTTTGTCGGGCACAACAACCACTTACGTTATACGTACCCAATCGAAAGGTAGTCGCTAACGTAATTACACGTGTCTTCATTCATTAAGCAGGGCTAATCCTTGATTGTCATAGCGCTAATTCTTATTCCAACACTAACGAGCTGGAAAGTATTGGATAGGCATAAGTTAGTCAAAGTGGAATGGGTGACTCTCCTGAACAGCTTCTCAATAAGTGATAGTTATAAACGAAACAAAGAAATAAATAAATACAAACGAATTGAAGGACCGCGACCCATTTTCATCTGACGCTTGACCGACATTTGGGGTAATGAAATTGATCCGTCGCACCATTGTAGTTCGGATTTCGAGAAGTAGAATGGAAGTTGTTCGAAGTTCAAAAGACATTGGCAAATAGGAAACGAATCAATCATGGTGAGAATGACGAATGACTACGGAAGCCCAGTAGCGAAGAGTCGGTATTGAGATACCTACTTATCCTAATATCCCCGCAACTTTCCAGAATTCTACCCCTGCCGCATCAATACCGCATCAAGCGTCAGACCTCGCCACCCGAGTGAGCTCGGTCCAACCAATGACATTTAGCAATGTCCATCAGAGCCGATATCAGACAACTGCGGATAACGGGCTCCAGCGAGCCTTCCTCGAACGCTGCCGGCCGCAGCGGGCTTTGTTCGCCTCGCCGAGTCCTGCCGCGCACACGCGGCGACCTTCGGTCGCGCTCGCACAGCCACAACCCGTTCCGAGACGGGGACAAAAAGCCGCTCGCTTCCACGGGAGGAGTCATCGCACCGACGGCTGACACGACCGTGACGAATTGAGGCCGCTCGCGGATGGGGGAGCAGCCGGCGCAGACATCGACGAACAAACGAGCTGGTGTGAACAAAGCCGAACGTAGCATTCGGCGTCAAGAGCAGGCCTTTTTGTAAAGCATGCTCTCATACGAGCTGCAAACCTCGTTACAGACACTGAATCCCGTTGAGATGACCATTAGTGGCATCCCGCTCGGCTCGGTCGGTGATTGGGGACGGCTGCCGGTTGGCCGGTGCCAATCGGGGCGCACGGGCCGCCGTCGGTCGGGCCGGCACGCCACCGCCGCCGGTCAGCCGTGTCGCCGTCAGCTGGCGGGGGGCGGGCCGCTCAGCCGCCCTGGCACCGGTGCCCTCCCGAGCTGGCGGCCGCTCAACAACGCCGCCGCCGCAACAGATCGGCGGCGTGGCGCAGGCGGAAATCGGCCCGATCATCGCCGAGGACACATTGTCCACGTGACTGAGCCGGTACCGGGTACCGCGCCGCCGCTGACGTCGCGGCAGCAGAGGACAGCCAGGCTGGGGCTGTCAAGAGGCCACCTCTGCAGGCAGGCATATGCGACGCGGGCAAGATGAGACTGATGGGTGCCCGGGTCTCGCGATGCCGCCGCCGCCTCCAGCACGGATCCGATCCCGGACACCGGAGGAACTGCGACGCAGCGGTATTGAGCGCGGAACGCGCATCTAGCTGCGGTTCATCTGCCGCGCTGTTGCCCAGCAACGCAGCGGACAACACGACCGCAGGCACGCTCACGACTCTCATTGGAGACAGCCACTCGCCGGCGCATAGATTGGCCCTGAATAACTTATCGGCATCACAGAGGACAGATGTCGCGGCTGGCGGTGGCCGGGTCCAGTGCCGGCACATCAATCGATGGCCAAATCACTGGACTGCGCCGGCCGGGTGCGTGGCGCGCCGGGCCGCCAGGACAGGCCGCCGCCGGCCGTGGCGTGACAGCGGGCCCGAGAGCAGCCCCGCCCCGGGACAATCACATGGCCACGAAGCGCGGCCGGCCGTTGACCGCCGCTGTCGAGCCACCGTTCCGGCCGGCGCGCCGCCGCGCCGGTGTGGCGTCCAGTCTTAGCGGTCACCGGATGGACTGGACTCGACCGGACCAGGCGACACAAATGACTAGATCTGGACGGTCCGGTATGTCACATAGTACTCAACCAAACTAATCATGGCATGACATGGCTGGCTGATGATAAATCGGGAAAAGGTGGCTATTGCAAGTTGATTCTAATGCAGAAGTACCTGACGAATAGGCAGTTAGGAAGATCTGACCAAATTCAACATTCCTATGCACTTTTCCTAGAGACTGAACTGTGTTGTATCGTCCATTTCCGCTGCAGACTACCAGGAGCATCATAGACATTTTGAAAAGTCAACACCTTCACTAAGACAAGGGAGCTGACCTAAAAACAGGCATTTGCATGCACCACACCGAAGGATAGTTGATCAGTGCAATGTGCACAAACCATGAAATATGGCCCACTCACAGCCCACAGCTCATATCTCTCACTATTGTCTGACTGCAAGACAGATTCAAACAGTGACCAAGTTGTACCACCCTTTGTACATGGAACAAAATGTGCAGGTGGAAAAAGGAAAGTAGATAGGTACCCAGAAAACAATGGCTCTGCACTCTGCAGTATATCTCTCCCATCTCACCCAAATCCAAAATGACAGCCACAGTCCTGTACAGAATCTAACAATGTCTTGCTGTTTTGATTATTGTCCACTGCCAAAAATCAATGTACCCTGATATGCAGATTTCACTAAAAGGAAGCCTCAAACAGCTTAACAATTTGGTACCAGTTTTTAACTATTGCTCTTTTTCTGGTTCCATTCTAACACATTTCAATGGCCAGAAAATGATGCCTGAATCTCCATTGTACCTGGAATGCATCTTGGATGGACATTCATTGTTCAGCCTGGGTACATTCTAAATGGCTTAAATGTTTGAAAGACAATTTTAAGTTCAAAACAAAAAGTATGCACTGCACCTACTCTGGGAAGGGGATACATGTTAACAAGAACATGACATCTAGGGCTGGTATGTATCTCTCCAAGCACAGACAAGCATATCCAGTATCCACACCCCTCAACATTACAGCACAGGCTTCTAAAAGATTCATTTTGGAATTGTAATGCTGACTTGTAGTCAGTCTGCCACACACCAACCACACACTACCCATCACATCTTGACATAAATTGAGTGAAAAGGGTGATATAGAAAAAGACTGATTGAACTTACCTTGATGCCACTCCTGCCCTGCTGCTTCAGCAAGACATTTTCTGGCTTCAGATCACAGTGGATGATTTTGTTCCTATACAACACATCCAGGCATTGGAGCAGTGAGTGTGCGAACTTCCTCACCAGCTGCAGACTAAAACCTTGGAACTTGTTCTTCTTGATGAGTTCATACAGGTTGATTGATAAAAGCTCAAATGTGATGCATATATGGTTCCGAAAGGTGAAGTTATCATACATGTGAATGATGTTGAAGGTATTGTACTTGTCCTGTTTTCTGAGATGCTCCAGGATCTTGATCTCCTCCTGTGCCTGCTTGTGAAATCTCTTCTCATTTCTGACCATCTTCAATGCAACATGTATGTGATGCTTGTGGTCATATGCCTTCACAACCTGTCCAAAGCTTCCTTTTCCTATCACTTTCAGCACCTCATACCTGTATGAGACATGGTCATGGATGATGTGGATGTATGAACCTTGGTCATCATCATAACCACAGTTGTTGCTACTTCCTATGATACCTGGTTTCTTCTTGGCATTTGCTCCTATATAGTAGATTTCTGGATAGGAGTATATCTCTTGCTGTTCATAGGGTGTCAACTTTGTTTTATACACCCTTAGAATCTGTTCTGGTGTAGCTACAACATTTTTTGGCTTGGCAGCTGACCCATTCTTCATTGGGCTACTTGTGCTTTGACTGTTCCCATCTGTTGTTGTTGTGCCTGGTCGCACATGAGGCAGTGTCTGGCCTTGGTCATTGCTTTGACCATTCTGTCCAGCCTGCGCATCACCATTTGTTTGTGCCGCATCCTGATAGAACATGTTGAGTTGCTGCACCTGCATTGCCTCACCATTCTGATTTGCTCCATTCTGTCCTTTCAAGGGAGGCAAGTGAACCACATTGCTATTGTCCCCAATGTTCTGAATGTATCCATCATTAGCACCAGGGGTGTTGGACGTCGTACCATTCATGTTTCCTAGTAAAGACCGTGTGCGATACAGGGGCATGGTCTAGTCCTGGGCACAAAATCTTCACACGCAGCTCACTTCACTCAAAGTCTGAGTACATGTGCATGTGCCTATCAAGGTAAAATCGCACCAGGACCTCACGAGTCCCACAACGCACACCAGGAAAATCCAGCACAAAGGGGCTCGTCGACGAAGCCAGTAGAACACCACATCCAATTCCGCTGTTTGCCATGCCCACCTCGGAGGGTGGATGTCAAAAAACTGATCACACCATAGTAAAACGTTGCGGGAATCGTCCTGAATCAGTTTCACAACTCCCTCCAGTCCATCACACTGCGCACGCTACCCCTCCTCGGACTCCGCACTCAACCGACCCTCACTCCTCGAGCTCGGCTTGGAAAATGGCGACGCGTCAATGTCCCGTGACGTCATAGAAAGTCGACCAATCACAAGGCGAGCTCGGCCGATCAGCTGTTTTGAGAGGTTGCAGCTAAAAAGACCGTAAGCTCTTGCGGTGGGAACGCCGGGAAGACCAATTTCCGCAGCCCAAGGCCCTACCGCAGCCCTAGTATCTATGACCGTGCGCAGCCCGTGCCTCTGCAGGAATACAGGAAGATTTCGACGCTGCCCCTGCGATGGACCTTGGAAAACCGCTGAAGGCTCATTTACCGAATCATCAGATAGCATGAGGAATCCGCCTTCTGCTTGTTTATAACGATGTCCTTTTGGAAGGGTGCTCGTGCTGGGAGGGTGCGTCCCACACCAGAATCAGGCAGTGTACCAAATGATGAAGGCACGACTTTGCCATGCTTTCCTCCTAAGAAACTCATACAAAAACTTAACGTGTCAGCCTACAGGATACCTGGATACCTACTGGATAGTCTAGTCCCTATTGATTGGGTGAACGAACTCCATTCACCCAATCGATAGTGACAGACTATCCAGGTATCCAGTAGGCTGACACCTTAAGTTTTTGTATCTTCGTTCAACGAAGATAGGCCGGTCCCCTACATCAGGCTCCAGCATCGACACAGCTTCGCCATCCTGCACTCCGCTCGGCTCCAGACAGCTTGCTGAAGGCATTGCATATCTGGGCTGCGACAACCACGTAGGATGAGATATTGGATCTGTAGCGCGCGCCTATCCATAACTGAAGAATGGCCCAATCACGGCGCTCGCATTGATGAACGGCCGAATCTGAACCAACAATGGTCCAATCAGAGAAGTGAACAGTGTTACACGCACTCCTTTCTCATTCGCCACGGTGCATTCTACACGTTATAAACCTGTGCTGGTAATATAAGCGTTATTTCTTATCCGGAATCTATCACATTGGTGAAACTAATGCGCTAATCAACGTTCCACGCCCACTGCAAAGGCACGTCAGAAGTGAAGCCACGGATATATTGGCATATTTTCTCGGGAAACAGACTAGAGAACAACAGGAAATCACTGGTGTGGCACTATCAGTAAATAAACCGGGATTCAAAACAGATTTGTACAAAAGAAGACTCATAAACTTCACCCTCTGCCAATCACTCAACTAAAAATCCCCCTTATTGATGACGTACCGTGCTAGATTTACAGCGGCAACCGCAGTACTCTCTCCCTTATTCATCGGCCACCCCGCCACGCCGATCGACGGCCGGCAAATCAACCTTAGGCTACGGGTTCGATGACGTCACGCACTGCCATCCCAGGCGATCGGGAGGCACGCAGTGACGTCGCGCAGTCGGATCGATGACGTCACACCCGCCGCGGAGGCCAATCACGCCAGGCCTGCTGTGTCGGGTGACGTCACTGGCCGCTGGCCGCCATCGCCGGGGATATGTACACAGGGCGGCACCCCTGCGGCTGTGACCAGCGCCCTGCCGCTCTGGGTCCCCTACCTCGGGACCCCGACCATCCCCCGCGCCCCTCCCCACCGGCAAACCATCCGCGCTGCGTGCCGGTGCACACACACAAACACACAAACAAAATCACGTGCAAGGCAGTCGCTGGTATCCTCTGAGGGTGGTACGACCGGCCGGCGGCCGCACCTACCAAATGTACAGCGTAAAGCACGGGGTAAGTCCATACAAAACCATGTAACGCCGATTTATCGGGTCTGTGCGCAACAAAGTAACGGATATTCTCGGGAAATCTGCACTGAACAGCATCTAAAATATTTGACAACAAGGGATTCGGCCAAACACACACGAATCACGCGCTTCACGAAACAATACTGCTCTATGCGTTTTGCACGTTCTCCCAATCAATGCAGTCGTTCTGTTGCCCGGGCGCTGTTGCGCCGGTGCTGCCACCTAGCGTCGTTAACTCGAAGTTGAAGGTCCGGCGCCGTCCGCGCTGCGGCCGCCATTCTCGTCTTTGCTCTTTTTGAGGCTGTCGAGGTATTCCTGCTGGGAGGCGGCCAGCACCTGGGCCAGAATGCCGGCGTCCTCCCACTCGGAGAGGCCTGCGGATGACAGTGTCAGTATTGGAACGACAAGGGTGTGGCGCACAGATCAAAATTACTGGGAGACGTCGCCGACACACTGCGTCGGCGGTCCGTGGACGAGGGACGCCAGTTTTGGGATAATCTTAAAGAAAGAAAAAAAATCAGTCTATTCATGGCTTCTGATTATACTGGGAATGGTGCATTTATGGCAAGCGAATTCGAACCTGCAACTGAAAGTTTATCGAGGGTGCTGCACGATATGCGGAGACTGTTCCGCTGCAGTTTAACGTTATGTAACTTCTCTGCTAAAATTCATGAAATGTAACAGAAAGTTTGCTGTGGCATGCATGCAGAAATGTGGAAAGCTGTTCATTTACTTGGGTCGCATATGACAAATCGAAATGTGACGGCATAGTTTGACACGATACGTTTTGAACAGAGTAAAGTAATCTTACTGAACAGGGCCAGTTTAATATTTTACCTACGATGCGTACCACCGAAAAGGGCTGAGCAGTTACAAAGGTACCGAGGAATTACAAGAGTCTACGCAAAGAAAGGGCCAATATAGGTTAACACGGAGGCATCTTACTAGGCCAGTCTATTATGACGCGGCTCAGTACGTACCGAGCAGAGCCTGTATCAAACATAACGGTACGTACCGAACAGTGCCGGCGGCAGCTGGTTCATGAACGAGGCGGTTTCCATCAGCGGGAAGCCCAGATCCCGACTGGGCCCGGGAGCAGCTACCGGTGAACCCACGCGCTCCTACGGGACGGAATCGATCAGTCAGAGGTCAGACACCGAGCCGGGCAACGGTCGTCAGTCGTCAGTGAATCGCGCCGGTAAGACAGTACACGATAACACGAGAAACGCGATAAACTGGTCAAGGCAATGTCTTACCTTTGTGTCAAAAATCATTTACAGTACATTTTCAAAACGTCCATTTTGACAGTTTTGGCCGCTGGAGAACAAACCGTTGATTTTACGTCAAATCCGAGGACACGCTATCCAAAAAGCTTTACAAAGATATCCAATACTTTTTCCGCTAAGTTCTAGCCCTCCCCTTCGGTGTCTCCTCTCTCCTCACAGATCCGAAAGTCGTCGTAAGTCGTAACCACTCACCTGCGCTGCTGCTGATGTGGCGCCGGCCGCGGAGCCCGCACCGGAGGCCGGCCCGGCGGCCGGTGATCCTGCGCCGCCCTCCGCGCCACCCGCCCGCGGCGAGGCCAGAGGGGACAGCTTGGCGGCGCCGCGCGGGGAGCCGCGGCCGCTGCCGGAGCGGGCCGACGCCCCGGCCGAGGGGGAGGCCTGTCCGGCCGGCGGACTGCGGGCCGGCAGCGGGCGCGGGGAGCGCACGTCGGCTGAGGTAGCCGTCGACGAGGAGGCGCAGGACGTCTGCCGGGGGACGGAGACGATCAGCGGGGCAGACAACTTCAGCCATACAACAGCCGCTGGAGAATTAAAAGACGAGCAATTCAGGCAAACGCAGTGCTGGATATTTGGCGAATAGCGTGAAAAGGCTGATCGAAAGCGCTGGATGAAACACACGTCATTATGAGTCAAACGCTGAATTACTGTTACTTGCTTTAGATAGCTACCCGATATTTGTTTCACTCTTCTCGTTAACCCCATAAATTCGAACGTTAACTAAGCATCACAGCTGGTTCCACCCCTGAACCAATGCGTCACCTTGTTGCGTTTCTCGTTGTCTTTGAGCCACTGCAGGTAGCTCTCCCGGGCCACCTGTTCCGAGATTGTCTCATTGGTTGCCTCCCAATCCGTCGCCTTCAGCTTGTCTTCCAGCATCGTCTGTAACACATTCAGCAGTCAGTAACTGTGTGAGACATCGTGAGAGTTCGTGAATGGCCAAAACGAGCATTGAATGAATGAATGAATAAATGAGCAGGACGCGGAAAATCACTCCATGTGTCGTCATGGGTCATCACCGCGCCGCCCTGCCGAGCTTGCATCGGCAGAATCGACAAACACATCTCCATTCACCCCTTCCTCTTCGCCCTTTGTCCACGCTTTTACCATCCGATCCCACACCTCACCTGTTCAATGTGCAGGTCCTCGCTCTTCTTGGCGGCGTCGGTCAGCAGGTTATGGTCGGCCAGGCCGGGCACATAGCCGGGCAGACCCAGGCCCACTCCGATGGTGGCCTTGTACGGGTTCACCACAGAGTTATAGTGCGTACCGCGGTGGTAGGACAGTCGGATTGGCTCGTTCACCTGACCGCCCGGCTCCTGGGGCGCGTGGAAAATGTTGATCGCCTCTGGAGTAGAGAAAAGGGGTGGCTGGTTAGGTGCTTATGTGGGAACTCGTGACTACTGAGCAGCGAACTAAAGCTGGTTTGGAGAGGTGACGAGCGCAGATATTCTTCAAGGAGAGCTTTAAAACCTACGAAGAGTACGTATTACGTAACCCACCAAGCACTTACTAAGAAGAATCCATCACTATGTGTGCACTGTCACATACTTTTAACAAGATTTACCCGGTGTCAACCTCCTGTTCCTAGCAAATCGGCCGCCAGTCAGTATTCACAGTGTGTTCACTACCCCCACCAAAGCTGTGCTAATTGAGACAGCTGTATTGGACAGCAGTAGCAGTGGAACACAGGGGCTCGGGGAAGGTCGAGGGATAAATCCGCGACATCAACACTCTTCTCACAAGCGACTGTGATAGTATGAATTCCCGCCCCTCTCCTCACCGGAGCTATAGCAGAGCACCTCGATGGTGCGGCTGTACATCTCGCTCAGCGCCTGGATCTCGATGTGGTTCCCGTGTACCCACGGCTTGCTCTTGCGTCGGATGTACTCGCGAAAGTCCTCGGTGATGTACTGCGAGAAGTAGTCTTCGTTCGAGCCCTGTAGGTAAGAGACAGGAAATGTCACGATACATACCGATGGTAATTAAAGAAGGGAGCTGGGTGGCGTCTCCATGGGTGGAGGCAAAGTAACCATATAGTGATCTGTGATTAATATGGTAACAGTGAGAAAGAGCCATCGTTGCTAGTGATCGAAGCAGCGCAATCCGAAATCACTATGGCAACTTCCACCGTGGGACGTGGCAACTACGCCTGCCACTGCCGTTCATGAGTATATACAAGCAATCAAATAAATTCAGCGATGGTTCAATACAATCAGCCATCTTATATACCACATACAACATATTACCAATAATGCGCCAGTTACCATGATTGGTTTCAGAATATGTAAACCTTGCGTATGATGCCTTACAAAAAGCATAACCACAGCATAACAGCGTTCGTCACCGGACCCACCGAGTTATGTGTGGTACGGGGAGGGGTAACTTTGGCTGCATTCCTGGGCGATGAGTGTACAATACATTCTACCGTGAGCCACGGGTGACTCACGCCCCATTCAGCTCAGTGGGACAGAGACACTGGACTGGACTACAATGACTGGGATGTGTCAGAAGTGGGCACGGGACAAATACAAATCGGCTTGCCAACGAGTATTGCCAATGATATGTCCTCAGCTTGCCAGGGTCCGAAATCAATAATTCAATGTATGACTATCAGCCGTCTTGCGACACTGTATCTATTTGCGTGTATCCATTAGCATACCAGTATGCGAGCCTGACTGGCAAACCATGGGCTAGAGTAGATTTGAGTGTATTCGTTGAAACCTGTCAGCTTGCCTAGAAGAAGCTAAAAGTTTGTGCCTGTCGTTGACACGAGCGTTTGGAAACTCACTGTAGGTATCCGCGTGTACCCCGGTACTTACAATGTACTCCATGCAGTACTTGCGGACGGTGAGGTGCATCTCCTCGTCGCCAAAGATCTGGTCTGCCACGGCGCGGAACAGACAGGCACCGTCCTCCACCGTACGTTTGATCATCAGGCCCTTCTTCTTCAGCTTCTTCTCGAACTGACGCTCCTTCTGCGGGTGCCCAAAAGATACACTGTGTCAGACCTGGGTCACCATTGCGTCAAGCATAGACTCCTTTAAACAAAGGGGTCTGTGCGGGGGTCTATGCGGGTCTATGTTTAAAGGGGTCTATGCGTCAAGCTAATAGCACGGTCGAGAGCAGGACCATGCTGCAATCACTTTACGGCGTGCAGAAAGACAACTGAGATGGAAAATCAGGGACGGACGTCGGACAGAGGCCGTGACATCAATCGGGTCATGTAGAGAACGGAGAGTAGACATAGACCGGGAACGGAACATATAAATCCTTGAAAATATTGAAACGGTTTTCGGGAAGGATGGAGAATGCGAGGTGTCTCCCCAGAAGTGATCGCCGAGCCTTGTAAAGGCTAAAGCCTAGTACACGGCGGCGACAACTATTTGTGCGAGACGGATGCTGCATAGTATCCAAATACACGATAAGACCCTATCCCGTACTAAGCGGCTCCACAGTCGGGTGGCGACGGTCCACGAGCATCGTTCATGATTATCGAACAAAGGCGGTAAACAGGAAGCACGCCTCGCTGCGATAGGATCCAAGGTGCTTATAGCGAGACTGAAACGATGAACACTGTTCACCGGCTATAAAGGAAGCTCACCGATAACTATTCTATAAAATAGCCGTCTCTGAATCACTCTTTGCTTGCCGGGATATCATTAATAACACTGATCAAACAAGGTGAGCAAATGAGCCGACAAGTGACGGGATCCGACACGGATAATTAATTATTGGCCATACGGCTAGCCTTCTTTCTATATTTTCTAGAAGTCAGTCTCTCAATTCCACTAACAGCATGTAAGATACGGTTCAGAAATTTTGCGTACGGCAATGTCCACAACATAGGTACCTAGGTACCAGCAAGCGTTCGATGCTGATCGATCAGCATCAATCACACCTTGTTATAACGCGAAAACCAAAGGAAGGTGAAGACCAGACAACAAAGTCCCGCATAAAAACTATTAGATTTTATAATTGAGCGCTTAAATTGATGTCAGCGTCCGCCATATGGATTACTATGCACCATGTGGTGCGAATAATCCAGCTTTCATCCGGTGCAGTGATTCAGCCACTTATGCCGCAGAGCGTAATCTCCTCAGCGAACGCAAGTCATTCCGTCTTTCCATTCGGAAGCCACAGGGAAGGAGAGGGTCGAGGGAGCATAATGCTGCAGATCTCTGGGGCGTATAGGCACCCACGCTATGCAAAAAAAAAAAAAAAAAATATTTCGACGATAGTATTGTAGAAAGGATATCATCATTTTCCAAAAAAAATTATCAAATAACTCTAGCGACACTGAACAAACACTGAGCATTTAGTAAACACAATGTCGAGAGGTACTTTACGTGGCCCAATTACCTAACGCGACCTACCGCCACTCCAATCCTCTTACCCGACAAAGGCGCCTGACCTTGGCTTTGGCACACCTAGCTGAACTAAACGTCCCAATCCGACCACCATAAAAACGACGAGTTGGCACCGGAGCGGTGGCGGCGAGCTGTCCTGCTCACCTGCGCTCCTCCCTCCCTCTCCCTTTCACCAATCCTCTACCACGCCGTCTTCTAGAATCGGAACACCGGACGCTTTATCTCTCCTCCCAGATAGGGGGTACCACTCTACCTCCCACTAACAAACCGAGAGACCCGCTCTACCTTCCTCTGTCCTCAGTGAGCTCCCTCCCTCCCCTCTCTCCCACCGTAAGCTCCCCTCTCCCGGCCGGTCGTCTGCCCTCCCCGGACGTCGCAAATCATCAGCGGGCGCCGGGGCGCCGCGAGGCGTCACCGCCCCCTACTGTCAGTGGGTCCACAGACGCGGCGGGTGAGCTACCCACGCTATGGTGGTCTACTGGAGAATCCTGAGCATCACGAGTCAAAACTTGTTTGCCTGTTTGGTAGCTTGTTCGCTATCCAAGTTCACAAAAAAAACTTGGCGTTAGTTACACGCCTTCGTCACATGAGCTACGCTTCTGCGGCCGACGGTAGGAAAAAGCAGCCGCATGCCACGTCTCTAAGTTCTAACCACAATCCCGTACCGGCCGTACCACTATCACAGCCCACATCTTCCACCCGTATCTCCGAGGACAGTCCATCTAGCCGCCCATCTCACTCCACCGTCATCCCCGGGTACCTCTCTCGGTCCCTACATTACCCTGGCTGCCATAGGCGGCCCGGGCGGCGGACAAAGGGACACACCGGGCCGGCGGCGGTCGATGCCGGCCGACCGACTCCCTCGACGGACCGAGCGCCGCCATCGCCCCCGGAGCGAGCGGCAGCGGAGCGATAGGGCAGAAATGGGAGGAGGCGGGGAGGGGAGGGGAGGGGAGTGCGGAGTCGCGGGCGGCCGAAAATGAGACCAACACTCTAGGGGAGTGGGGCGGGCGACATGACGTTCACACAAACAACCTTGCGCGTATGGACGAGAATGTGTTTGCGCGAGGGTTTCAGACGAAGTTCTCCTGGGTTTCGGCGGTCAATATACAAGTCGGTACCGCTCCAAGCGTCAAAAAGCCGATACCGCACAGGTTTACCAAAGCTTTGTCTCTGATTCATAAGGGCCAAAGGGCGGCAAACTGCTTCGTAACTTAATCTGAAAGCATGATTAATCCCACTAAAAACGAAGGAATCTGCGAGTCATCGACAGAATACTGACAATTTTAAATGTTTTAGCGTTCGCAATAGCCCCAGAAGTGGAAACATTCTTGGAAGCAGATCTTGCCATATAAACCAATATTAACTTAGCTTAATCTAAAACACACTCCATATCCAGCGCTATTTTACGTAATGTTACCTTACGTAACCCACCGTCCCGCTCCCGAACCTTCGGAAACGAATCGAAGCACCAAATTACCACGACCACAATGCACTGTCCCGAGGGACTAAATAATGCTGAAATTCGCAGAAGCGAAGCGGCCCTTCAAGCCCCCTCCATCAGATGATATTCATTCATGAAGAGCGTGGCAGTGACATAGCACCCCGGCCCCGCCCCAACCCAGGCAGCAGTATTGACCCCAGTCAGCGCGTGGGTGGTGGCTGGCAGCCAACAGCACTTCTCCATCGCCATATCCAGTGATTATTCATGTATTTGTGCCGCAAAACCTGGGGGCATCTCAACACCGAGGGTGTGGACACTGGACTGTTTTTACCTATCATCCAGCACTGTCGGTGTGACTATATGAGGACGTGTCATACGCCGTTGCTGATATGCTGGCTTTCAAAGGCTGTTCGTCCAGCCAGTCTGATTTTCTTTGCGGGGTCACGGCGGATCCGTACAGCTGCAGCGCTTATATCGTACAGAACATACATCGTATGTTCTGTATACATCGTATGTATATGTCTGGAGCATCCGTTCCCGCTGAAACACCGTGTTTGAGCACCCCAACTCTCCTCACTTCCGGGCCAGATGCAGTCTGCTTTTGACCTATCTGCGTCTTCGTTTCAATTACAGAGCTGCTCCCCAACCATCAGATACACGGCCCTCTATCTACAAGAATATTGCTCCACCTTGCTGCCACAGCAACGCGTCCTCTCAACAGAATCATCTCCCCTCCCTGTAGCACCATCTCTCGCCTCAACACACCAAAACACATTTTGTTCAGCTTCACGATCAGTCTCACCCCCTGCAAGGATCTCTCTCCACCAGCTCGCCTCCAGCTATCTCTCCCGTCTCACCTCCTGCCCAAGTTCTTTCATTCCTCACCCCGGAGGAGTGAGGAGGGTCTGTCTCCTCTCCATCTCACCCCTCCCGTCTCACCTCCTGCCACTGGTCGTCGGTGAGGTCCCAGCAGTCTGCTCCGTACTCGTCGCCAGAGTTGTACCCAGACGCAGCCTCAGTCTCTATACGGCTGCCAGAGGGCCCGGCCACTACCAGCGGAGCGCTGGCAGCGGCGGCAGCAGCAGCGGCGGCGGACGCGGGGTGGAACGTGGTGGGCGAGGCCGTGCCACGCTCGGTACGGTCGCGGTGTTTGGCGCGAACCGATCTGCAAGGAGTGGGTAAATGTCAGAGACATAAGCCAGTCAACTAAGACCGAACGAGAAAGAAGACACGCACAAATAATAAAGGTTCAAAGTTCAGCAGCTTAAGATGGAATAAAATGAATTCCTTTTTACCAAAACATGTTGTAAGTAACCTGAACTGCGAAACCACGATTTACTTCCGAGACTAGTTTGTCCTCTCCTGTAACTGCGCATATGCCCCGATCGCGAAGATATGAAGCATGAGTCGTATTATTGTATGGTTGAGTCACCATCCAATGGGAGTTGCGATGTTCCTTTTACATAACTTTTAAACATGGTGGCAAAGACGTTTCTCGAAAGAAACGACGATCAGCCAGTAAATTCGCCGAGATCCCTCAGAGGCTGTACTGTCATACTGTTTGTATCCTCAAACATCTTGTATCACGAACCGATTCACCTGAATGATGTCACGAGCTTAGAAATCGTCTCTTTGCCGTACCGGCGTACCTACCAGTTGGTGTTTATATCGTCCCCCCCCCCCCTCGCCGACAAGCACATCGTCCGCAGCCAATCCAGTTTCGCTCTCCGCAAACAGTCCTCTCCCATATCTATCCAGAATCCCCACCAATCTCTGATGATGTTGACATTCCAAGAGCTCACTGGAACTGCACTTATAACCAGGGATGCGGAGCCGTGGAAATTTCAGACGGCTCCGGCTCCGGCTCCGGCTCCGGAGAAAAAAATCGGCTCCGGCTCCGGCTCCGGCTCCGGGTGAAATGTTATGGCGGCTCCGGCTCCGGCTCCGGCTCCGAGTAAAATGGTCCGGCTCCGGCGGCTCCGGCTCCGGCGGCTCCGGCTCCGACTCAGTACATCCCCTACGCAATCAATTAAATACGGGTGGAAGAAAAATTGGATTGGTTATACGCGTTACTCTTTGCCATGACCGCCTCACCGCGTCCCCGCGCAAACGCACCTCGGAGAGAACTGGCAGAACAAAGGGCTAGGAAGCGATGGCATTGGAAACGCAGTCGCCGCGAATCGGAGTTCAGTGAACCATCGTAAGCTGACACCCGTCTCGGCTGCATTGGGGGTGAGGGGTGGGGGGTGTGTGGGATGAGACGGTGCTGGGAGTCGCAGTCCACTGCACTGGTTTGAAAACAATGGCCGTCACCTGATGACTGGTCCTCATGTTCAGGGGATGCAGTAGACGTGGGGGGGGGGGGGAAGAGCAAACAGGAAGTTGTTTGCGTACTGTGGGATACTGGGGATATTCGGATTTTTTCATTCACTTGATGGCCCATGACGTAAGTACCATATGTTTTACTGCCTTGTACTGTCAAACCGAACTAGGTCAATTATTATTTTTTTTCCTCTTCAAAAAATAAAAAGGAGCCGGAGTCGCCCCCTTTTTTGGCGGCTCCGGCTCCGGCTCCGGCTCCGGGCTATTTTGTTTCACGGCTCCGGCTCCGGCTCCGGCTCCGGGCAAAATATGCCGGCTCCGGCGGCTCCGGCTCCGACTCCGGCTCCGGCTCCGCATCCCTGCTTATAACCGTCCGCGATTGAGCGTCGCCGTACCTGTGCGGGCTGGCGCGGTGTCGCCGTTTGGCCGGGTTGGCGGGCTGCTCGCGGCCGTCGTACTCGTCGTACTGCGGTGCCGTATCGTCACTGCGGCCCGGCTGCAGAGGCCACACGGGCGGCGAGCTGGCGCTGGACGCGAACAGACGCTCCAGGTCGTTCCTGGCCACTGGCATCTGAGACAGAGCAGGGGCAGACGTGCGAGGACAGGTCAGGTTACCAGTGGGGTACAAAGGACACGCTACAAAATGTGAAGAGGCAGCTGATGCTGAGTTTTTTTTTTGTGTAGCTGTAGGCAAAATTCATTGCTAATAAGGTGGTGTGAGTAATATCATTTTAGCACCCCTGCAGTTGTTTTTGTATCATTGAGATAGTAGAAAAACAATGTCTAACTCTTCCAAGGCGCCCTGTGAAATGAATACCAGTATCATGACACTCCTTTGGTTTAGAGGACAACCCAAGAGTGCAAGCCATCATAATTGTTGAACAAATGTAAAAAGGGGCTGTGTTTTGTAGCTGTAAACATGTGGGTAGGTGAACATGAGCTGTAACTGATAGCTTAGAAGAAGCAGAGGTATAGAAGATCTGGGTTTGACTGAGTCACTGAAACCTAAACTATGCTTCACCTTGACCAATGTTCTTTGCTTTTCACATGGTGCCTTAATAAAATATATATATTTGGCCAAACATTATGATGACTATGTTTTAAGCTATAGGCATAGTGCCTAGTGGCATGTGAAGCATAAAAACAAAGAGTTGCTTTTGCATTTTTTGAATGTTTGCTGGGGCAACATCAATTGTTACGGAGCGAGCGAAGCGAGCGGAGTCTTTCCTTAGATTAACGGAAATTTCTGAGTATGAGCGGCCGGCCGGCCGGCCGGCCGGCCGGCCGTGCGGACGCTTTTGCGAGGCTTATATCTCAGCAACCACTTGACCGATTTACACGCGGTAATTTTTGTAGGGTAGCTTCATTCCTTCTACCAAGTATTGGACTATTCCCGATGCATGTGGGTGACCCCTTATGCACGTGCCACGTGCAAAACGAAGAGGTGTCAGTTTTGTAATTGTTGCAATATCTCGGTAACTACTTGGCCGATTGCGCTGAAAGTTGGCATGTAGGTAGGCACCCACTAGGCACTGCATATCCATGTGCCAGAGTTGGGGTGCTGCTGCACGTGCGCACGTGCAGGGGTCGTTTCCAGATCTCGAGAACGGCTGGACCGATGGCGCTCAAATTTGGTACACGGTTAGGGACCAGTTAGTAGGGTGCCGTGCACAAGTCAGTTGGGACCCATTTTGCACGTGCGCACGTGCAGGGTGCCGCTCTCAGATCTCGAGAACGGCTGGGCCGATTGTGCTCAAATTCAGTGTCCCAAAGTTTGCCAGTTTGGGTGGGAAATGACATCCAAATCAAAATAATTTTCCACTTTCACCTTCAACTTTCCAGAGCAATTTTTCACTCCCTATTTTACCAATACAGAGCATCTGCGGGTACCTTTTACCTCGCTCCATTTTCGATTCAACAATCTTATAAGGCAGCTCCCACATCCTTCAACATTCACAAAAACATTGTTGATCCCTGCATGTTCCACTCTTTTTTTGCCTTTCTGACTGGCAATTTTTCCACTCTCAACCCTCTTTATAGTGACAAATATTTTCCTCCGACACCCAAGCCGAAATATAATTTTGGAACACTGCTCAAATTTGGCACATCGCTAGAAACCGGTCAGTAGGGTGCCGTGCACAAGTCAGTTGGAGGTACCCCCTCGAAATTTCGCACGTGCAAGACTCACCCCCTCGCTCGCTCCGTTAGTCGCCCCAAAAGGCGCTATACTGGTATATAACTAGCATGATGTAGGAGCTCACTTAGATCCACTTTGCCTCCCTTCCATAAATTCAGAATCTGCCAGATGACACTATTTTTCTCTATGCCTCTATGCCTATACCAAGTTGCCTCTATTCTGTATTCATGATTGATTCCCTATTCACTTGAATTGTTCAGTGTTTCACAATGTAGCAAAACAGGGTTGATATCAGGAGCATAACATTCAAACCAAAATATCATTACAAGGAAAATATGTTTGCATCCTAATGTCCACACCTTTCTTGTTATCCTTCCACTTTCCTTAAATATTTACTTATGCCCATAATAAAATGAATATGACTTAATATGACTTAAACAAGTAAAAAGACAGGGGAAAAAATCAAAGATCAAAAACATCTTGTTTAATGTTTTATGCTTGTGGAATCCATGTTCTTTCTTGTTAAGATTACTCTGCTACCTCCTGCCATCAAAATACTAATTCAAAATTATGCCAAAATATACCAGCTGGGGGAATGAGTAGTTTGGAGAAAAGATATCAGTGACATAAAACTCTGACTGCTAAAAATGGCAGCAACAAAGCTATGGATGATGTAATGTAATGCTGATGCTTTCAAATTGCAGAAAAATTGTGACTCTCACATACAATAAAACATGCACTATAGTATTTTATTATGACAGAAGTGGACAAGAAGGATGCAAGCATTAAATTGAAATCTGCATTCACTCTTTTCTCTATTCTTCTCCACTTGTGCTCTAACAGTAAAATTATGCATGCAGAAGCACGTAAGATTAAAATGTATGTCACGAGTTGGATTTACAACACTTAAATTTATGAAAAGCACAGGAAAAAGTCACATTGTCGCATTCAATCTGCAAGTGTTTCAGTTTGGATTTGCGGAGCCAGACCCATACCTACAGCAATATGGATTCATACCTGAAGTGCATTTGCCGCCTGAGTCAAATTCACTGAATTATGACTATGATGCCCGATATGAGATCCAAGGAGAGTAGGGCCTTCAGTACTCTCTGTCTCCAAAGGGCGTTCAGCGCTCTTCTTTTTATGTTTGATAGTCATCTTGACATGAAGGTCTCGCACCAATCCAAATCCTTTTAGCTGATTCAGACAAAGCTAACTTTCGAAATTCCTGATGTTAGAGAAGATCACTATTTAATTTTGGAAAGGATCAACGTCTCCCCCGACGACCAGCACAGGATTTACTAAACTAATGGCCGACAGCCAGCACCGAGAAAATAGCAACGATGGCGACGATGGCGACGACCATCCCAGCTGCTCATTGTTTATTTTCCACAGAAAATAATAGTGCTGAGTGACAAGTATCATTTTTTGCTTCATGAGGTCGTCCTGCAGGGGCTAATAGATAAATTCGTTAGTCCTAAATATATTTTTTCTTAATCAAACAAATCATTTCAATGATAAATTTATATGATTTGAGGAAAAACTGCCACAAAAGTATAAAATTTTGGCATGTATTTTTCTGAAAGTGATGGGCATAATCTTATACAAGACTGGCGCAGTAAGTACAAAATCACGTCTTGTTCTTTTGTGTTCTATTCAGTAAGTTCTGCTTACAAAGATGTCTTATGATCAGTATACACCAATAGCTTACCTATTTTGCTTGAACCTGTCAACGAGAGTTATATATTCACTATACGAAAAACACTTTCGATACCACCACAGATGTAATCCTAATCCTTTTCCGACGGCGATCGGCAAACGCAAGGGATATGACAATCACGTGGGAAACGAGCACTGTCGATCCTGTACACCAACGCCGACCAGTATTTAAACAAGCGTGATGATCTTTGTGCGCGGATAGCTGGGACGGAGCCTGACATCATGCTCATCGCAGAAGTTTTACCCAAAGTCCAGGTCTCCGCGGTGTCTCCTGTACGCCTTGCCATTCCTGGTTACAAAGTTTACTTAAGTTTCATTCCTGATGTTCTATGTTTAAGTACTGTAAGGCCCCGTGGCATCTGCATTTATGTTCGTGACTCCTTGCCCTGTTCCGAAGTTAAGTTTCTTGCCAGTCCTTTCCGCGAACAACTGTGGGTGAACATCCGTCTGGCAGGCAGCGACATTCTGTTGATTGGGTGCATATATAGGAGCCCATCCAGCCCACTGGAATCAACCAGCCAGCTGAGCCATCTGTTGGATCTCGTCGCCGCCTCACGACCTACACACCTGCTGATTACCGGCGACTTCAACGCTCCCGACATCGACTGGGCGGCTGAGGTTTCAAGGGCACCAACTGGGCATTGGTCGCACGAGCTTCTAGAACTCTTTAGGGACCACTACCTCACTCAACACGTGCTGTCCCCAACGAGATACCGCCCCGGACAGACGCCGCACGTCCTGGACCTCGTGCTGACCAACGAGGAAGGCATGGTCCTCGACCTCCGCAGCCATCCGCCACTCGGCAGTAGCGACCACGTCGTCCTGACGTTCACCCTGCGGTGTTACGCTGAAGTCGAGCAAGTGACAACACTGAAACCGGCACTCCACCGCGGCGACTATGGGGCGATGGTCCAAATGGCGCGAGAGGCGACCTGGCCTGTCTCTGATGGCTGCACCGTTGACCAACACTACCGAGCGTTTCAAGAAGTCCTGGACGGCATCTGCGAGCGCGGCATCCCTAGGCAGCACCCAGGTGGCAGGAAGCGAAACCTGTACATGACGCGCGAGGCCCTGACGCTGCAGAACCGTAAGAAGAGAATGTGGAAGAGATACCTACTAACCCAAGATACCCTGGACTACTGCCGATTCTCTCGAACCAGGAACCAGTTGAAGGGACTGGTTAGACGTCTCCGCAGGAATTTTGAGCGGCAACTGGTGGAGAACCTGCCGGAAAACCCGAAGGCATTTTGGCGTTATGTGCACTCCCGCCTGACCACCAGAACAAGAGTGGACGACCTCGTCACTGAGAATGGGGATATGGCGTGCACGGACGCAGCTAAAGCTAGGGCTCTGGCGGAAGCTTACAGCAGTGTGTACTGCTGGGATGAAGACCCGGCTGACGTTCCAGCAATGAATCCCCAGTATGGAGGCCCAACGTTGGAGGAGCTGCGGGTGACGCCGGGGCAAGTGGAGGGTAAACTCCGCGACCTACGCCCGGCAGCATCACCAGGCCCTGACGCAGTCCATCCTAGGGTGTTGCGCGAGCTGGCTGCCCCCCTGTGTGGTCCCTTGACAGACCTCTTCAACCACTCCTTGGCAGACGGAAGAGTCCCAAGAGATTGGAAGCTAGGTCAAGTTGTCCCCATTTATAAAAAGGGACCTCGTAGCGATCCTTCCAATTACCGTCCCGTCAGCCTGACGTCCGTGACGGCGAAAGTGTTGGAGTCGCTCGTGCGTGACGCCCTGTTCGAGCACATGACAGTGACAGGCCAGCTAACTGAATGCCAGCACGGGTTCCGCCCGGGGCGCTCCTGCGCAACGCAGCTTCTCAGCACACTCGAGGAGTGGACTTGGCTGATGGAGGAGGGCGAGCCGGTTGACGTCGCCTACTTGGACTTCCGACGCGCCTTCGATTCGGTGCCTCACCTGCGTCTTCTCCAGAAGCTCCACGACATGGGCGTTAGGGGACGCCTCCTCGAGTGGCTTCGCTCTTTCCTGACAGAGAGAAAGCAAAGGGTCACTGTCAACGGCAGCTTCTCGGACTGGGTCGCAGTCGGCAGCGGTATCCCGCAGGGCACAGTTTTGGGACCAGTGCTCTTCATCGCTTTTGTCAACGACCTACCTGGCTGCGTAGAGAGCGCATGCAAGCTCTTCGCTGATGACACGAAGGTGTACGTCGGAGCGGGCACCGAGATCGGCCGCAGAAGGCTCCAGCAGGATTTGGACGCCCTGGCGGCCTGGTCTCGGAAGTGGAAGCTGCCGTTCAACCCATCCAAGTGCACAGTGCTTCACCTGGGCAGCCAAAACGTGCGGGCGAAGTACACGATCGAAGGTGCTGCATTGAAGACTGTTGACACGGAAAGAGACTTGGGGGTCCAGATGGACAGACTGCTCAAATTCAGGGAGCAGGCGGCGACCGCCATTGGCAAGGCCAACAGAACCCTCGGCCTGATCAAGCACAGCTTCGTCCACATCGATTCCAAGACACTTCCTCTGCTGTATAAGACAATGGTTCGCCCGCACCTAGAGTACTGCAATCAAGTATGGGGCCCGTTCAACACGACCGACGTGAGGCTGGTGGAGCGGGTTCAGCGACGGGCTACGCGCCTTGTCCCTGGACTTCGGCATCTGCCTTACGAAGAACGACTGAAGAGTCTTAAACTTCCCTCCCTCCAGTACCGCCGTCGACGCGGAGATATGATCACGATGTTCAACATCATGCACGGACGCTCCGGCCTGGACAAGGACGACTTCTTCTCGCCCGCCCCAAGTACACGCACCCGCGGCCACCGACTGAAGGTCGCCAAGAAGCCAGCGGTCAGCCGCGTCCGGCGCAACCACTTCGCCACCCGGGTTGTGTCGGACTGGAACGCTCTACCAGAGGAAATCGTCTGCTCGCCATCGACCAATGTTTTCAAGAACCGGCTGGACAAGCACTGGACGAACTATGCCTTCGTCGTTCCACAATAGTGAAGACTGTTGACGCTACCCGAGCTCTTTACGACGGATCCACCGGGCAATCCTAGTGCCTTCAATGATCCCCAAATATCAGGTATCAGGTATCAGGTATCAGGTATTTTCCTGTATTAGTCAACAACTCTGCTTCGTGCCTGCATGCCTGCCTATGGTTCATGGTTGGTTGATATCTTTATTGTTTTTGTTTCATTATTGACATGTATAAATAATAATTTGAAAGTAAGTATGAATCTGAGCTTTTGGCCACGAATAGCTAATTAAAATTGATCGACGCGAAGGTGGCACAAATCGCTGGAGAAAATGGTGTTTGTTGATGATGTGCCACTTTATTAATTACACGGGTTTTGCTGCATAACCTGATACGTTTGGCAATTGAAAATGGTACAGTTGGAAAGAGCATTCAATTTTGTCCAAGATACACACATCATTTTTGCGCCAGCGGTCAGCCGCGTCCTGCGCAACCACTTCGCCACCCGGGTTGTGTCGGACTGGAATGCCCTACCAGAAGAAGTTGTCTGCTTGCCATCGACAAATGTTTTCAAGAACCGGCTGGACAAGCACTGGATGAACTATGCCTTCATCGCTCCACAATAGATAAGACTGTTAATGCTACCCGAGCTCTTTACGACGGATCCACCGGGCAATCCTAGTGCCTTCAATGATCCCCAAATATCAGGTATCAGGTATCAGGTATGACAAGCAACAATATTCTTAAAAATGCAAATGTCTCAAACCATTACATTATACATAGTTATTTTTAGCAAAACTAATTGATGGCCCTCAAAAGACTTCACGTCAGTTTTCGAATCATTCTAAAGTAGAACGTCTGAAAATATGACACAGGCACCTTGATGCGATGTATCTTTTTGTTTTATTACAAAATGCTTGGCCGTCAAAAAGCAATCGAACGAAATGGATGCCAACCAAATCAACACAGACCAATCCAATACCCACGGGTCAAAAATAACCCTTCTTCATGTTGCGGAGCACGCGGGTCATCCTAGTAATAAGCTGTTGGGTACAACTAAAATAGGGATTTTTAGAAACACACAAAGCTTTCAGTTTCAAAAACTTAAGTAGCCTGAGTACTCGGCAGAGGTGCTGCCGCCCAGGTAAGGCCTCTACCTTCAGTGTGGAGATAGGTATGGAAGGCCTTGTGGAGATAGGTATGGAATTCATCACTGAGCATCGTTAAAGTACTGCAGTGGGTTCCTGCCCACTGCGGTATTGAGGGGAATGAGAGCGTGGATGACCTGGCAAAACAAACGGCTGCTCTGCCCTCAAATGCCCGCCCGCTGACCAGGGCGGTTAATTGTGTGGCCTCGCATCAATGGCGCGATAACTGGTCTGAGTCACTATTGAAGCGACTCCTCGGGGGCGCACTGCCGCCCCCTATCCCCGGAGAGGACAGAGGACGCTGTTTCAGTGCACCAGATTAGGGCGGGCCACTCGCTCCAGTACGTGCACCGAATCAGCCGTCTCCACTCTGCGGCATTCCAGCAGTGCCCAGCCCCGCGGTGCCCGGCGAAGCTCTGCGCTGTGTGCCGATAAAAGGTTGATGTGCCGGAGCACGTGCTGCTTCGCTGCCCAGCCCTCGCTGTATGTATGTATTTACGATCATGGGCGATCCACACATGGCGTGGCGATTACGCTGGCTCCCGCCAGTCTGGAACACACTGCTCCGCCTACTTTGTGACTCCCATGTTTGAGGTGCTCTCCCATGTTTGAGCTTGGCATTGATGTTTTGAATAGCAATATAGATCCTGTCAGTGGTAAGTACCACTCAGCATTGACAGCTGTATTGCCTTCAGAGCCTGAGGCCACTATTATGATATGTAAGCAATCTGCTGGTATAAAAATAAATCAGATGAAGCATTTTTTATCAAAATTTGAAGCTCTAGATACTCTTGAATCAGCTTGGAATATCGTCCTGGAATGTCTCTAGCAGGCTTAGCTCAAGAATTTTTCTAAGCCCTGCTTAGAAGTTGTATTTTTGGCACTCTGGTGCACCGGTTCTGACTAGGATACTCTGATAAAATCTCACTGATATACTGACTCTGAGTTCTGACAAACTGCAGGTGACGGTCACCAAGTGACATCACACCCTGCTGCAAGTGACGTCACCCGCGCGGCCCTGAGTGACGTCACGTGCCGCCCCTGATGTCGTCGGCGGCGATGGCGTCCAGCTCTGTCAGCCAGGAGGACATGGAGAACGACTTTGAGCGCACCTCGCGTCGCTCCCGGATCCGGATGGCACGCGGCAGGGATGTCAGGGGACAGCACCTGACCACAGCCGCTACCCGACTCGGTGAGTTGATGGCGCGTGGACGGGATGTCAGGGGACAGCACCTGACCACAGCTGCCACCAGACTCGGTGAGGGGATGTTTCGTGGCAGGGATGTCAGGGGAAAGCACCTGACCACAGCCGCTACACGACTCGGTGAGTGGGGGTTGGGAAGATAGGGAGGTGGAGAGGGAGATGGGATGGGAGAAGGAAGACGAGATAATGAATAGGGAGATGGGACGACGGATGGGGAGGCGGGATGACATATAGGGAGGTGGGATGCCGGAGGGGGAGGTGCTATGGTAGAGGGGGAGATGTGAAGGCAGAAGCGAGGTGAACTGTTGAGAAGGAGAGGGAAGATACGATGGAGAAGGATAGGTGATGAAGTACAGACAGAGCAATTGTTAGGCAATGGTCGAAACACTACTTTATTACGGTGAGAGAGCAGAAGAGGAAGATTCGAAACGCATTCGCGTTTGGGTCCGTGAATATGTGCTCGCATGTTCTTCGACAAATTGAGTTGTGCGTGTTTTGAACTCCACGGAATAACTAGCGTCGGCGGCTGCTGGCTTGAATAAGTCACTTGGTTCGATATGTAGCGGTTTGTAGCGGTTTGAACTTCAGACGTCGCTAAAGACCGGGTGTCGAGTCACATTAAGCCTGAAGGTTACACTATATGATATCCTTTCCTACATATGTATTTACATAAATGATATCGAGACAGTTGGTCCACGACCACGATTGTTGCAGACTTCTTGCGATGCAGAGTTCACCAGCTGCCGTATCTGTTGTGCCCTGGCCAAAACGGCTCGCCAAGCTCGGTTCGCCGTGACAGCGATGGCCTTGGTAATTTACATACCTACCGGTAAACTCTGCAGCTTTTCCTGTCGGTAACAGGGCGGTGTGGAATTCTGTCAGATACTGCCGTTTCCTTGGATTCTCGCCGGTACAGACTGGAGGGCTGATTGTTGATACACGTTGTTCAGGTTTTTTGTTGATCATTTAGGTAGCCGATGGAGTTTTTTTTTGCATAACTATCTGGTTAAACTTTCTACTCATCCGGATCTACAGTCTCTCCAGTCCGTGCGGCTGAATATTTGTACTTGGAGTTAATCGTTTAAATGATTGAAAATGTCTTTTATATAAGGCAAGTGTCGAAGTTATTCATGGCCACTTTCTTGAAGGGCCTATTTGACCAGTGTCATACGGCTGAATCCGTTTACCTACCCCTCTGAACTCAATGGTCGAGCTTGTATGCTCCATGCCGTCTGCCCGTGCCGTCTGACCCGTGCTATCTGACCGATACTCATTCCCTCTCTGCCTCCAGCCGTCTAACCGTGCTGTCTTAATCCTTCCTTACTGTGCCTCCAGCTGTCTAACCCTTCCGCTCCCTACCTCCAGCCGCCGACCCTGCTGTCTAACCCGTTCCCCTCTCTGCCCCCAGCCGTCTGACCATGCTGTCTAACCCGTTCCCCTATTCGCCTCCAGCGGCCGACCCTGCTGCCTAACCCGTTCCCCTCCCTGCCTCCAGCCGTCTGACCCTGCTGTCTTACCCTCCCTCTCCCTGCCCCCAGCCATCTGATGCTGTCTAACCCGTTCCCCCTCCGCCTCCAGCGGCCGACCCTGCTGTCTTACCTTCCCCTCTCTTCCCCCATCCGTCTGACCCTGCTGTCTGACCCTGCTGTTTGCCGGTCCCGTAGCTCAGTTGGTAGAGCGTTGGACTCCGCGTGGTGAGAGCGCGCGTTCCCGGTTATAACAGTCCGGGTTCGAAGCGCGACGGGCGCTTGACATTTATGGGCCTCCTGACAGGTATGGTTGCGGTTGGTGGCAGGCCGTAGCCAGGCGAAGTCAGTGAGGGGACCGGCCGTGCGCGGCTATGTGCGCACGTTAAACTTTGGACTCTAAATTCTGCCATAGAACTGGAATTGCGCGATCGGAGGGTAGAGGGCAGGGTCACCGCAACAAGCTTCGCTTAGCGGTGGCTCTGTCCTTGTGAATCCTTCCTACCAAAAGGTTCGGACTAAATTTATAAAAAAAACCTTTTCCCCTTCGCCTCCAGCGGCCGACCCGGTGGCCGAAGCGGAGGATGCCGGCGAGCCACGGCCGCTGGACATATCGGGCTACTCGGGAGACCATGACGCCAGCCCCAAACCGGCCGCCAGAGCCAAGGACAAGCGGCCCGTCAGGTGAGCGAAAGGGGTACCTCCGTGGAAAGGGCGGCGTGCCATACCAAACAGCGGTGGCTAGGACGTGGCTAAAGGCTTCTCATGGCTATGGATGAGAAAGACACGTTTACCACATCATCATGTATATGATCTGCTACCGACGCCGATAACTTAGCAGGGAATGTTGCTTACATATCAACAACAGCACGGTGCTATCATGCCAAAAGAAAATGTTTAACTCAAAGCAAAAGTGAACGAAATGCGAACTATCAGGCTTTATTCACACAATACACCAACTGCAATGCTATGTTAGTGTGAAAGGAGTGGTTTTCTGATGGACTTATCGAGCTTACGTCGCTGGTGTCTTTTCATAACGTTGTGTCGGCTAACCGGCTAACCAGTGAAGTAGTTCAGTGAAGTACCCGAAGCATAACCCGTCCATATCTCTATCTGCCGGTACACTGACTGCACCTAATGTATGTGCTCGCAGGCCGAGCCACCCAAACAAGGGGAAGCAGCAGCGGGACCGGGACAGGAGGAAGCTGCGAGAAAAACGGCGCAGCTCTGGGGTCGTCCACATGCCATCCACGGAGATGAGCGTGAGTGCTGGATAGGAGTCTCTGCCTAATGAAATGGACATATTGATGAAATGGAGTTTGGCAATGAACTTTGAACTCACATGTGTAGGATGGAGCCATGTGTGGTATGATAGAGTCATGCGCCAGTTGCTCACTTGCTAAACCAAAGATGTTGCATCAAAAAGTAATAATTCGTATTTTGTAGACTGTAGTAATTATACTCATTCCATTGTAATCTTGCGATAGCAGCCTCATTTCGTTCGAGTCGGTGTCTCCCAGTGTCGCCTTGTCTAACCTTTGGTTCCTGTTCCAGTCGACAGGTGGCAGCACCAGTGAGGACGAGGAGGTGCCGACAGGCCCGACGGCGGCTGCTGGGGCCGAGGCAAGGCGGCCTCCTCTGCCTGACGCCGAGACGGCTGAGACGGCCGGTGGGCCCGTCCCGACCGTCCCCCGGCCCGACAGACACTTCAAGTCGCCGCGCAGGAACAAAAGGTGCGTCCGCGAGGGGTCATGTGGTTTTTGTTAGAGGAGTCTGGACCAATGTCCCAAAATTTGTCTATTTGGGTGGGAAACGACATCCAAATGAAATTCATTTTCCACCCTCGCCACCATTTTTAAGAACAATTTTCCACTCCCAAGTCCCAACCAAGAAAACATACCTAGATTTTTTACCTATAGAAAGACAGTTGTGTGGATGCCCAGTTAGCATCAAACATTCTACACCCTAGAATAAAATGCATGCTTTTTGTCATTTCTCACTCCTTTTTGATCTAATCGAATCAGCAGTTTTCCGCTCTCTCCCCTCTTTTTGGTGGGTAATTTTCCCCTCTGACACCCAAGACAAAACTCAATTTTGGGACACTGGTCTGGACGGAGAGCTGGAGGTCGTCAGAAGGCTGGAGAGAGCGGAGATTCATATCCCGTGCGATACTACATGCATGGCGCTTACGGTAGTGTGACCTACTTGTTCTGGTGGACTTTATTTGGATGGACTTGGATGGACGCACACATATGGATTAAATCGAAATGGATAACAATTGCCTTGGCGCTCCGTGGTTTAGCAAACGATGGATCTCTCGTGCCACAAGGATTACAACGTGGTACAAACAGTCCACACGTTTGAGTAGGCTGTGCATTCCTGCACAGTGGCCTAGGTCAATTTAAAACATTTTGGATGATGCTGTCATACAGCAGGATTCATTTGATCTGTCAAGTAGGTAGGTATATCTATATGCATGACGCACCACAGATCAAACCGAAAACGATTGGCGTATGAGCAGAAAGCTTGTTTGTAAGCTGCCTGACCTATCACCAGCTGAATCCAGTAGTCCGGGAACAATTGTCCATCTCTCAAACTATATTGGTGTCGCAGCCAGACCTAATTGCGATTCACCATGGTGCACGGTTCATTCCGCTGTTATATAGCTTTGGCCCCAATACCATATCGCCGAATGCCGATCACTCATGTGTACACTGTACAGTGTCTGGACAATGTTTAGGATCGACCTGTGGGGCTGATCCAGAGATATTGCGACACTGGCAAAGTCCATTGAACACAAGCTCCCGGTAACTATCAACGAGTGCCCTGGAAATGAAAAAAAAAAACGCTCAGAAACGTGGACTATGTATTTCGGTGAGCAATGTATTCAGAGACCCACAATATAGCTTAGTACACGAGCGTTTCTAAATTTTCATTTTGTGACCGAGACGCAGTCGAGGTCACAAAATGAAAATTTAGAAACGCGAGTGTACTAAGCGATTTAGTATATGACTGCGCCACGCGAATTCAAATTTAAAGCGAAAAATCAAGTCTGGAAACAATTTCGGTTTGCATTGTCCAGCATTGTCAGCAAATTTAGGCCTTGGCACTTACACGTTATTCGAATTAGACAATAAAATAATAGACAATAGACAATAAACACCAGAGATACACCGAACACCAGAGATAGAGAGAAAAACACACTTGAATATACATACATAAATAAACAAGCCATATGAATAGGCAAAAAGAGCCAATAGACAATAAAATAGATGAAAAATGAAATTGCACGGCGTTGACTGTAGGTCATAGGACATTGACCTGTCTGTTTTGTATGGGTCATTGACCCGTTCACTAACTGTTTGTTAGTGCACGGAGTGCACTAACAAACCTGTTAGAAACGCTTTCATCCTCAACACGTGCTCCAATGGAAAAACGATCTTCAGTCATATACTAATACCTAAATTGTCATGAGTCGTTGGGGAAAAACGGGATGTGGTCAGTGGTCTGGTCATGTCCTTCGTTATCATTCTAAGTAGCAACATCTTTAAACATCAGTTGTTTTCACTTTACATTGCTTAGCAGAGGTCTCTCTCCGTTTTTCTTTTTTTCTGCGTGAGGAAAGATTGTTTCTTTTTAACATCAACATATGTATGGTCTGCCAGTAGGCGATTTTTTTTCTACGACCGGCACTTCTTTGGTCACTGGATTACCGGCCCTGATTTGATCCTGCGATGGGTCAGGAGTGTCGAACAAAAACTTACTAAAACCTTGGGCGGATTATCATTGTTGAATATACCACACATTCCCAGAAACACTTATTGTAAAATGTCAATGGCTACACATATATTCGCATCCATAACATCCATCATTTTAACACAGGACTCTAGCCGTAGAATTGCGCCATTTGTGTGGAAGTGGCCAATGGCGCTGAATAATACATGTGGAGCCATCGCATTAAACGAGTCCGCCCTGTATGACCTGAGGTTCTCCGTTACGAGAGACGGGCAAGGTGCGTGTAATCCGAGAACTACTCTTAGGTAAATGTCTTTCAGTGGACTGTCGACATCCATAGACTGCGTGACGTCTGCATTCAGTTAGCTGCATATAAATTTGTGTAGGATTGCATTGATCAAAAGTGGGCTGTCATTTTTCGTCTGAGGTGATACCAAAAATGAACAATTTGAAACGCATGTGTCAGTATTGTTAGTTTAATTGTTTACATTCCTGATGTGCTGTATATGTATACGTAAATGTGCACGGTCTTGAGCATGCGCATGTGTCTCTGGTTTCCGCATGTGTTTGGCATGTGCATGTGCATCCCGCGCTATGCATCCCGTGCTATGCCTTACTCATACTGTCTTCATTTACCTTTCAGTTTGTGGTGGGGCTTAAATAAATGCACGCTCAAGAGATATTGATCTTTGTAAATTGAACATTGGTAGCAGAGCGTGGTTACAAGATGGCATCTAGAGATTTCAAAGCCCCACCACCTATGCGTCAAGATTTGCCATATTCAGAGTGGAAGCATGAGATCAAAGTGTGGAAAGCTTTCACTAGCTTGGAGAAGTCCAAGTTGGGACCAGCACTGTTCCTGTCCTTAAGTGGATCTGCCAGAGATGCAGCCCGTGAGGTGTCAATAGAGATTCTGAACAGTGATACTGGACTTGATGCTCTCATAGAGAAGTTGGACGAGTTGTTCTTGAAAGATGAGAACAATGCAGCCTTTGAGGCATATGATGCGTTCGAGAGATATGAGCGACCATCTGGCATGTCTGTGTTTGAGTACATCAACACATTTGAAAGACTGTATCAGAAGGCAAAGCACTACAAGCTGGAGTTGCCTGATGGTGTTCTAGCGTACAGACTCATTCGCAGTGCTAACCTTTCAGATGCACATCAACAGCTAGCAAGGGCAACTCTGCCGTCGCTCACATATGCAAACATGCAAACCCAGCTGAAGAAGATCTTCACAGACAGTAGTTCTCAGGGTGTGCCGTCAGCGAGAGTGGCAGTAAAAGTCGAGCCCGTGGATACAGTCGCAGAACCAGGGCTCGGCCAGGCGGCCGACACCCTCTTCGTACAGCGAGGCAGAGCACAGAGTGTCGGACGAGGTTTCAACCGAAGAGGACGAAGTGGTGGACCGCGCTTCGCCTCACGACCGCCTCTGCGTGGCAGTGGGACTACCTGGACTTCACGTGGCGGCTCGAGAGATCCTGGATCTGCTGGACAATCCGCCAACCAGCGCACAAGGGCTAGATCTAGGCAGAATCCACGGGATTTAAGGGGTAATGTGACCACCTGTGCAGTGTGCAACTCTTGGTTTCACTGGGCCAGAGATTGCCCCGATCGCGGTGAGGTGTTCGAGGCGTCTGCTTGTGACGATGATAGCCATGACCCCACACAGGACGAGGAGGTATTCGTGACGTTGTTTGCGAGGGATACATGTGAAAGTGGACCAACTGAACGTTCAAAGACTGCTGGGCGAAACACTAGGCTATGGTATCATCGATAGTGGATGTAGTAAGACCGTGTGTGGTGAGGTGTGGTACAAATGTCACTTGGATGCCATGTCTTCAGATGACGCGGAGCGAGTGGTAGAGGAGCCCAGCAGCACAACGTTTAGATTTGGGGATGGTGAGAAGGTTACTTCTCTAAAGAAAGTAACGTTTCCAGCACTGGTAGCCGGTAAGACGGTGCGCGTGGCTGCTGATGTGGTTCCCTATGAGATACCTTTACTCCTCAGCAAGGAGTCGCTGAAGAAGTGTGATGCGCTGCTAGATTTTTCTCGAGACACGGCGGTACTGTTTGACACTGAGGTCAAGCTATCTGTGACCTCAAATGGCCACTACATAGTACCTGTGGCGAAGTTTCATGTCGGTAGTGTGAGTGCCAGGCAGGACATAGAGCAGGTACTTTTTTGTTCAAAGTTTGAGGGTGCCAACGAGAAGGAGCGCATGCAAATAGCTAGGAAGTTGCATCGTCAGTTCGGTCATCCTAGGAGTGTGAAACTGCAGTCCCTGTGTCTTGATGCTGGCGTCCAGGACAAGGATTTCTTTCGCATGCTTGTCTCAGTGGAGGAAACCTGTGATGTATGTAAGAGGTATAGGAGATGTCTGCCCCGACCAGTGGTTGGTTTTGGGATGGCTCGCGACTTCAATGATGTCGTTGCGCTGGATCTAAAGCAGTGGGGACCTGGAGTATGGTTTTGCCACATGATAGATCTGGCCACGAGGTACAGTGCGTGCGTGGTAGTGAAAAACAAAGACAAGCAAACGATCCTGCGTGCAATCATGACTGAGTGGATAGCTAGGTTCGGGGCACCCGGTCAGTTCTTGTCTGATAATGGAGGTGAGTTCAACAATGAAGAGTTCCGAGAGATGGCCGAGGCGTTCAACATACGCGTGCGGACTACTGCTGCAGAATCCCCTTGGTCGAATGGGATCAATGAGAAGTACAACGGTATCATCGCCAGCACAGTGAAGAAGGTGATGGATGACACTCCATGCTCTCTCGAGGTTGCTCTGGCTTGGGCTGTGTCAGCCAAGAACTCTCTTGAGACTCACCTGGGATTCAGTCCTAATCAGCTTGTGTTTGGGCGAAATCCGAACAACCCGGCGTGTCTCCATGACAAACCTCCGGCTCTGGGACCTCCTTCCGGAAGTGATTTGGTGAGGACACACCTGAACGCCATGCATTCTGCCAGGCAGACGTTCATTCAGAACGAGTCGAG